CGACTGCGACAGAAAACTTTGATCATTTTCACACATGCGTGAAAAATAAATGGCAGGTGTAGAGGAGTCAGTTTGCATGACGTTTGCAATATGAATAACAAAATGAGCATCTATAGCAACTCACTACGTGAAGAATACATGTTAACCTTGACTGGGCGAAATTGCTAGTTATTTCCACTCAAGGAAAATCTCAGTGGACAAAAAACAAAGTCCAGTCGTGCAAAGCTCTCACAAAGTATTCATTTCAGAAACGAAATAGGGTCTGACAGAATTCTCTCTCTTCATTTTAATCACACTGAGCACTAATATCAAAAGAGAAAGCCCACAAAACTACCACAACTAAATAGGTGACTCACAGCAGCCCTACTTTTGACAGACCTCGTAACAGTCACAGTAATAAGATTTTGGACACGCCCACTTTGAAGAGAACACGTGTTTGGACAGTGTGCATTATGGCAGGGCTGCACGGCAGAATCTGTGCTCAAATGGGGCCACGTAAGTTGAGGGCCACAAAATGGTCGTTCTGCTGATCACAGGATTTTACGTTGTGAGACGCAGTGGAAATAGATTCGCAAAATTTCTCCTGCAGGGCCCCTTGGGGAAACCTCGGATTGCGGGGTGCAAAGAGGTGTGTAAAAATCCCAACAGCTCGAAGAACGTTAGGTTCGGATGTCTGGGGATGCGGACTGGAGAGACGCAATGCTAGGTCTGCGTCACAATGACAAATACCGTGACGGAACTGAAAAAGATAGGAAGAACGTTATTTGTTTGTTCCTGTCTTGGTGCCCTGTAACATAGTCTCGAATGCCGGTAGGTTTAGACTTGTAGCGGTCATTAGAGATCACCAGGCAAAGCATGGACTCACTTCCCCGTGGCCTTACCGGGCCTACCGATGGTGGCCAGAGTAGCTCCAGAAGGCTCTGACTGAGACTAGAGATTATGTTCGATGGCATATTCACTGGGGCAACAATCCGGGAAGTTGGGCCGGAAAGTGCTACCGTGTGGATTACGTCTGGATGCCCACGCCGTAGATGTTGGAGGCTAGGTCGCATTTGCATGTTACAGCCGCCGGGAAAAATGGGGCAGTGGTTCATGTTCATTGAGAAGGGCGCCAAAAGGACTCTCACAATACATGTATAATCAAAGACAGACAGGACGAGCATTGATAATATTTATAATTTATAATACAAGGTCATATTTATGACAAAGAATTTCTTGAAGAAGAGCCTACTTCATGAATGGGAACCCTATAGCAAGAGTATCTCAAGACGTGAGGCAGTCGGTTGACCGGCACGGGCGTGGTCAGTGTCTTCTTCCGGAAGGGAGGCTGACGGAGGATCAGGAATCTGGAATATGTCATAGGCGGTGAGGATGCCAATAAAATTGGTGTCATCTTCAATCAAAGACATGGTGACATCGCTTCGACTGAAGTAAGGGTGTGCTACAGTCAAGAGCCGACGGTGCCCGTAGATTAGCAGGTAGTTGAGCGGAGGACCGTCAGGCTGGAGTGGACTCGGACGCGTGCCAAGTTCTGTCTAGAGACTAGAAAATCTCCACGCATGAACGATCAACCGAGAGTTTTGGAAAAATTGGCCAGAAGATTCCAGTCATGCTATGTTGTTTAAACAAGTCGTGGCTGATGGCTTCCTCCGTCGAAGCAGCTAACGGCAGGCCAAGCACTTGAATCATGTCTCGCTGAAGAAGACAGAGGCAGCAATCGGACAGAGTGAGGGCGCTGATGGAATCAACTTCGTTCGTTTTTGGAAGACAATGTTGGCTATCCGGTCGGGAACAGGGCAGTGCCTCGTTCCGAGCCATGCGCAGCCCCGTGGGGAGCGACCAGCTCCCAAGGGAGTAAGCCCAGCTGGTGTGATTCCGGTGTGGAACCCTGCCTGATATAATCATGTCTCGCGGCAGGAAAGGGCGGAAGGGTCTGGTCCGCCAGAAACGAGTCCGGGGCAGTGGAGGCTGATGGCCCTCTAACGCCAAGGCAGCGAATGATGGAGGTTGGAACTTCATTGATGGACTGGAACGCCGACATTCAAGCAGCAGAGGTATGTTCATGGTGGTCGAGGAATTTGACGAAGATGAGAAGCGCTTGCATTTTCCGGTGGTAGGCGACCCGAAGGCAGAGGTAGCAGACGGGGTCGCGGGGGGTGAAATGCCAAGCGTGCATGCCCACTCGAGGTCAAAGGGAACTGCAGAATTATGGACAGAGGGACCAGGAGAAATGAGGTCAAATGACCCGGTGATGCCAATTAAAAGCCTGCTTGAAGCACCCAGTGGCGGGCGGCCCGGCAGCGAAGGTGGCAGCCAGGGCCGTGGAATGCCCGAAGAGCAGTCCCAGTCGAGGTCAACAGGGGCTGGATAATTCCGGGCAGAGAGACCAGGAGCAAAAAGGTCTGATGACCCGATGATATGCAATTGAAAGCTAGAGCCACGGATGGGCAGCTTGAAGACCCAGAGATGTAAAAACCCCGTTAACCACTTCCTGCCGGGGACTCAGGGATCGGAGACGTATCGTTTATATGGGTGGCCGGGGTCTCCGAACTCGGACAAAGGAGACAGGGCCCTGTAACAAAAGACCGTACTCCGAACAAAAGACCAGGCTGCTGGGCATTACTTACATTTTTCACTCTCAAAAGTGGTGATAATCCAGCCTTGTTTTGAAACCGTATACCAGGGTTAGGGGCATTGAGAGCGAGCGGATTACCACCGGGGACAAAAGCGCTCCACCACCGCAGCGATGAGCCACACAGCACTGCTGCACGTTAATCTGGCCCCTATTGAAAAGAGGTCAGCAGTGCACTAAGCCAGGTTCATGAAC